CGGTACACGACAAAACGGTCCTCCCGAGTCCCGACTCCCGGGCCGTCGCTGCTACTGAATGTCAAGCACCGTACCTAACAAAAATCATGAAGCAGGGCAGTGTTAAGATTGGGTGTCCCCTCTCATGTAAAAGTGACACCCAATGGCCAAAACGAGCCCCCGAAGGGGGTCGCCAGGGTGTCCGAAGGACGCCCATTTGACCAAGTCAGGGGGTCTCAAGGACACCCAATTGCCAGACCGAGATCCCAAAGTCAATCCCTTGTTACCGAGCAGGGGGCCGATTTCTCTTCATAATCTGGTATTTTCCTGATATATCCTGATTAAGTTCCATGTTATCAGACTTTTTAGTTTTAACACTGACCAGTTACGGTAGTATTACCGGTATGGTGACGGGCAGCTTTAGCTACGCAACGTAGCCGGTGTACAGGCTACAGCACTATTAGATTGAGCTTCGTACTGTAAAGAGCACCTGGGCTAAAATCGGTGTGATCACTCGATGACAGGCATGTCCCTACTACCGAGGCAATCTGGACGCCAAAATGGGCCTTGAAAGGCGTCCTCAGCTGGGACACCCGGGACACCCAATCGAAATCCCTGGGGTGTCCAAAAAACGCCCAATGACACGTCACACACCCCAAGGTGTCCCGGGACTCCCAATTGAAAAAGTTAATCTTAACACTGAAGCAGGGGTACGTACTTAGAAACGGTAATGGTAAGGCGTCTCCGGTTGCCATTACCATTGGCTTCAAGAGCTCTGTTCACTCCTGAAGGCTGAAGGCTGGTTCTGCATTTACAGGCCATGGCGGCATTGCCTTAGGTAATCAGGTTGTCCGAAGCAACCACCTATGGTACTTCAACTTCAACAGGGTCGTACTCGCTCATGAATTTACAAGCATTTCTGTCACGTGGCAACCACTTGTGTAAATACGAAAACGATAAGATGTGCTGATACTCGTCTGGGCTTTTGCTGAAATACTGTCGCCGCTGCCGTCGCCGCTGCCGGTCTACAGAGGCAGTTTGTGATGCACAAGCGGGAGATGGCAAAGGAGAAGGACGTCCCGCAATTGCTTGCATCAAGTTCCAAGAAGAGACGGCTCGAAGTCAGCATTGAGCATGCCCCTGCAGCGGAGGGTTCTCTAGCTCCTTACGCTGCCTTTTTCCCAGCGGGCTTACCCGACAATCCACACCACCCTGCCGAAAATGGAAGTGCACCTGATCAGAAAGAAGGAATTACATTTGAGGCCTTTCGGAGTACGGCCCCGTTCAGGGGAAAGCACCAGCTTCTTCTTGGAAGGGGAAGCGGGATTGATTATGTCGGTGCAAACTTTCCAACGAAGCAAGGGAGCCGCTATGTTGTGGGTCTGTTCAACAAGGTGGAGGGGACGCTGAAAGTAACGGCTGTAGGTGGCGACAAGGTGCGGAAAGGTTCATATGCTGATTGGCAGTGTTGCTGAACTGAGTGCTGCTCAGTGCGGGGCGCTCTGCTTGAAATACCAGTTGTCTGGACATTGCGCTCCCTCTGTTGAAGAAAGTAACCTGGGTGATTGGCAGTGTCTATGAGCAAGTCGACCTTTCGGCATATACATATGCAATGCCCAGTCCTTCTCTGAAGCTCTTTGTTGCTTTTAGAAGGTCTTTTCCAACAACAGATTGTGTGCTTAAAATAGTCAAGTGCCACTTTGCCAAAGGCTGATGGAATTTTGGGCCTTGATTTTCCGAACTCAATGATGAGAAGTCTGCAGGCAGCGTCAGTTGACGAGAGATGGAGACTTGTTCAGTTTGCATCTTCTCAGATTCTTTCTGGTTCTGTTTGCATCTTCTTAGATTCTTTGCATCTTCTCAAATTCTTTCAGGTCTTCAGGATGGAGCCACGAGTGCCTGGTCTAGAGTACGAAAACGACGAAGCTGCGGCCTCCGTCCCAGATGAAGAACTGGAGAAGGATCAAGCTGCTGTTGCGGCGGAGCGCCGCGCAAAGCGGGAGATGCTCGTGGAAACGTTTGGCAGCCGGAAGGCGCGCGTCCAACAGAACGCACGGCAACGAGAAAAGGTAATGCACACTGGACTGTTTTAGGGGAGGAGAATGGACAGCTTCCGGTGGAGTCTTGTGTGTCAGCCCAGCTTGTGAGAAGTTATCTATGGACTCAGAAGATTGCGTTCTTCGTTCAAAGAACAGTCCTTCAACCCAAGTGTGGCGCAATTTTTAATCACCTCCATCATCCTCATCATGCATCGAAAGTTTTGCAAATCAGCATTCAGCAGTCATACTTGACAATCATCGCAAGCCAGTCCCTTCAAACTTTGCAACAGTGAAACCCTTGCATTCCGTCCAGTGGCTTCTTCTCACAGCAGTGTTTTCTGCAGGTCGAAGAAGATACAATCGCAGCCCCCAAAGCTCTCACCTCCCTGCTCTCCTCTGCCGTCGCTGCTGTCCCCACCCGAGAAGAAGCAACCCGCTCTGTCACCTCACTGGAGAGTCGTCTCATCCCCCCCTGCAATCCTGAGGCCACCACACCCGCCGGTGTCTACCCCGTCAAACTCCTCATACCCCCCGAAGTGCAAAAGGCGCTGGATCTGGAGCCTTACCAGAAAGCCGCCCGGCATCCCGAACGCCCGCTCAAGATGTATTTCGGGGGGGATATCTCGGATCTGGTCAAGAAGCGGGTGCATAAGCTATCGGTCGAGGGGGATCCCCGGGGGAGCGCCGACCGGATCAAGTGCCTGGCGTATCTGGCTTATTTGGTGGAGTTTTACCGTTTGCCCCCCCAGAAAGTGAACCGTTTCTGCTCGGGTCGGCGGGGGGCCGACAGCGAAGAAATCGTTGCGGGGCGGGGTGTCGAAGCGCTCGCACAAGAAGCCGGGATGCCGGTCATCGTTCTCGAGACGTTCATGGAACGCTTTTTGACGAAGCTCCCGGGGCGGGGGGGAGGCACCGAGTACGCGCGCCCGCAAAAGTCTGCCGATCTGACCATCGCTTATATCCTGGTGGCGGCTTTGCATGTGGACCAGTTTTGCAGCGATCCCGAGGACGTAGCGGCGGCGCTGCAAATGACGGTGGGGCAGTTGGTGCCGAGGTACAAAGAGCTGGGGTGCAAAGTGCGGAAACTTACGAAGGCGCAGAAAGAAGCAGGGGGGAGCGGGTCGGGGTACGAGGTTACGCTGCCAGTGCCAGTGGTCTTCCCAGCACTCAAGCGGGGGCGATAAGGAGAGGGGGCGACCAATAGGAGATGCACGCAAAGGCACTCTGACGTGCTTAATCAAGATTGATTGACATGCAAATTGCAGTTTTGAAAGAGTGCTGCTGCTACTTCATGGAAATGGTGGAGTTCAGTGTGCACAGGACTCGATGGTCGTTTGCGTGCATCACATGCAGTCAAGATGTGTCCGTGCGAGAGCTGCTTAAGTGCCCAGCCTGGAAATCCATCATACGGATGTTACATGCACTCGTCTTCAAATGAAGTCGAGCAGCAATCATAGCATGCAGAGCTTGGTGCTAGCTGGAGATCCAAAGCGCAGCGGGACTTCATATGATTAAATACCATGGCGGTCTCCCAGGTATAGCTAGCATGTCAATGCACCTATATAGCTCGATCGCCCGGTAATCGTACCAGTCACCATTGCATAGATGCACGAGCATGGCTCCGTAAGTTTTATGCACGCGAAAAACGTACGTGTCTCAGCCTCTAGCAACCGCCGTTTGCACTGTCCTGTTCAGTAAACACTGACCGTTCACCAATGCTGATCTCAATGTTGCCGGTGACGCCGTCCCGAACGTCTAACGGCGCCTCTCAATCCTGATGTGGATGAGCGAGACCCTTCTGTATGCACCTATTGAGGTACCACCGTGCGTGCATCTGTAAGCCCAGTCCTAGCACTACTTTTGAGAGCGTCAGCACCGCTATGCTGCACACGCACACGAGCATGGCTAGGAGGGCCGTCAGCCAGGGGGGCCCTGCCGGGAGAATCTTGGGGAGGAGGGGCGAGACAACCCGTACAACCTGCGGAGAAAGGGCGTACTTTTTGAATGAGCGAACAAGATACCCTCAACCTGTGGAAAAACCGAAAATAAAAGCTTAATCGGTGCGCGCCTACACCCACCCCATATCCCTAATTAACCCAACTCGTCCCGTCAAGATCTTCATGTTGCTCAGTAAGGTTAGAGTTCACTGCATCATTTGGAGTAAGAAGGGCCTCTCTCGTTGGTGCGCAGCTAATCTAGCCTTCTGCGCAACGTTTAACCGCGCTCTTTGTGGATAAACTTGTCGGTCGAACGTACTTTTCCTTCAATGGCGGGGTTCTGGAAAGGGTGAGTCGGGCTTCCGGGCTTCGTGATAGTTACGCCCACACTGGTAAAAGCAGTATACGTCTTGAGAAGGGATTGGACGAGCAGTCTTTGGCGACAGCCGACTTGAGCAGAGAGGAAGATCGCTTCAAGGCCCTCGAAGAGGATTTTCAACTTCCGGTCAATCTTTCCTGTGAGCTGAAGAAAATTCAGCTCTTTTCCTCATGAACTTTTTTGAGCTCCGAATCTGGTGGGGCGCGAACCTACGGATAATGACCAGGTTTCAGGGGCGCGTTCACACTCACCACGCACGCTGGTGCCAAGGGCACGAACGACAGCGTCTTGTGCACTTGGTGTGAACCGCTTTGTACCGTCTGCACGGAAGAGGACCGCGCTGTCAGACAAAGCCAGAAGAAAGGAAAGGGAGCCTCGGAGGGTCCAACCTAAAGCGAGACTCCAGCAATCGAGCTCCGGGTTGAGAAGGAATGCAAGAAGCAACTAGTCTACTGATTGGACAACCCGTGTGGATGCGAACAAGCGAGGTCCGCATGGCGCGCGACCTCACAGTACAGAGGCCCCGTCTTCGACCGACTCAAGCTCCTGAACCAGAAGAAATGATTCGAAAAGTTTGCAGCGGGGCCCGACCTGCCAGCAGAGGCTCTGCAGGAAGCCGCCATAGACGGCGGGCTTCATCTCGTTGAACTTGGCCAGGAACGCGTGCTTGATGACGTCAACCAGGACCTCGCACACCACGATCATCAGCGCGTTCTGCGGGGAGAAGTTGAGAAGAGCGTCAAGAGAGTGCGCCGAAGGCCTGTGGTAACTCGGAGCGCCGGCAAGATTCAAGCGCCTCTTATGGTTTCTGAGCCTGCGCTCTCTCACAGACTTCAACGAGAACACCAGGAAAAGTCGTTGGATTGTCTCTGTCCACCTTATACGCTCGGAAAGACTCTTCAAGAGTATCCGACAGTCGTCCCCGCCTCCTCCCGGCTGCTTTCGGCGAACGTTACCCAGCTCTTCGGTACTGCTCGCAGCGGAAGAACGCTCTCAATCCACCCACCGGCCACTCCTTCAAGATATCAAACCACCGACTTTCATGAGTGCTCGAGTCAGTACGGTGGCCGAACACAGAGGAAGAGCTCGTGAACGGTGCAGATCCTTACCAGAGCAAGATCGACGGCCCAGGGCTCTTCGGACGTGAGGACGTTCTGGACGAGTACGAAGAGAAGGTGCGCCATGATGTGGAACCGCTCGACAGTATCTGAAGTTCGGAGAGAGCAGGAGTCAAGAAAGGAGAATATTCAGAGCTTTGAAAGCCTGAACTCATCCCTGTAAGCGCTTTCGCTCAAGGCCGCTTCAAGGCGCCTGCGGCTGATCCAAGTACCGATGGACTGGCGTCTCGAATTGGCTTCGACCGCTCTGAGCATTGCTCGTGTTTGGACGAAAGACCACTTTGACTTTGTGCAGAAACAGTCCGGGCAGATCCAGCCGAGACCCAACAAAGGCAGACTCCTCAGCGAAAGAGCGCAATTGCACGAGTGGCATCGACTCAACTGGCTTCCGCTAGAAGCTTCCGTCTATCTTTCCGACAGAAGCACCATGGATCGCTCGAACTCGTGAACCAGCCGCCTTTAGCTGCCTAAACGACTGGCCCTTTCCAAGAGGGCGCAGGAGAAACTTCAATACCCGTGAACCGGACCTAAAGTCGCCCTCACCGGGCTCCTTCATCCAGAAAAACGAGCTGAAAGAAGGCCAAACAGGGCGCCCATCCCGACCCGAATGGGGCTCAAACCCGGTTCAAACCCTTCCTAACCGGGGCTCAAATTGGGCGCAGTCCTGATCCGGGACCGTTTCCTCACCCCAGGTAGGCGAGCTTGTAGAGAATGTCTCAACCCATTCGTAAACCTTGCCTAAACCGTGCTCAACACAGGCTGACCTCGTGCTCAACCCATGCTCGACCCGTGCTTGACCTATGCTTAACCGAAATTTTTAACCGTGAGCTCACCCAGGTAGGCGAGCTTGTGGAGGTTCTCCTTGCCGAGGCGCTTGAAGACGTTGCTCTTGATCTCGACGAAGTTGTTGGAGATGAGCAGCGTCAGCAGCGCGTTGTTGTGGCTGTTGATGGCCACGTTCAGCGTCACCGCCTGCGACATGATGATCAGCGAGTGCACCAGTGCGGCGGGGGTCAAGGAACGGCACGAGAGTCTTTGTGGAGGAATGAAAACCTTGATATTGCAGAAGAGAGCGAAGAAAAGGACTGTGTTATGGGTTTATGGGGAAGAAAGGAGTGTTCTTGGGCGCTAGATTGAGCTTCAACGCCTAGGATGTGATCAACAGCGAGTGCACCAGTGCAGCGGGGTTCAAGGAAGGGCACGAAAACCAGGGGAGGGGTGCGGAAATCTTTGAAGAAATTGAGAAAGGAATTCAAAAAGCGTTTCTGGGCTATGTTGAGCAGAACGGCTTGTGACATGATAATCGGCAACTGCACCAATGCGGCGGGAGTCAAGGAAAGGCAGAATATCCAAGAGGAAGACTTGGGGTAGGGACGGAAAAACTGAACGAGCAACAGGGAGGAGTCTTTCTAGGCTAAGAACGTCACTGCCTGCGACATGATGTTAGCGCGTGCACCAGTGCGGTGGGGTTGAGGAACAAAACAAGGAACGGGGAGGAACGGGGAACCCCATAGATCGAATGGGCACGACATATCATTATCAGTGGCCAGAATATACAAGAGCTCTTCTGGGGGGCCGCAACAGGACGCTTGCGGGACACCTTACGGGACAGACGGGACGGAACTTTCCTGAGGGCTATCGGCAGTCGTCAGTCGGATCCACACATGCAAGCTTCGTCAGAAGCACTTGAAACGCTGCCGCAATTGTCCTGCCGAAAGATTTGCCGACGCATCACTCAAGCGACGCGACAGCTTGCCACGTGGCAGGGAGGATATCATAGCAGGCGGTCGCGACGCCTTGGTCCAGCAGCAGGCGCGCGGTCTCGGCGGGGAGGCGCTCTGCGCTGCACAGGCTGACGCGGCCGGCCGTGTTGAACAGCACCTGGAGGACGTCAGCACCGAACGACTGCAGCAGCTTGTCCATGATCTGCGAAAATAGCAGGTTCAGAGAGAATATTATTTTAGTTCAAGGTTTGAGGTTTTATTTTATGAAGTTAGGCTTCAGCGGGGATAAGTTTGATATCTCCCAGATTTTGGGGCTGACGCGGGTGACGTTTTAAAGAGCACCTGAAGGACGTCAGCGCCAAACGACTGCAGCAACTTGGCCATGATCTGCAATGGGGGGGTTGTCGGCAGTCAGGATTTCGAGCGATGCAAATTTGCTCTCTAATCAAAAAGATCTGGGAGCTGAAATGGCCGATTGCATTGAACAACACCTGGACCACGTCAGCGCCAAACAACTGGAGCAGCTTGTTCATGATCTGCAAACAAGAGTTTGCACACTTCAGTCCTACAATTGTGGGACTCTAGGGTTTCAGGATTCTTGAGGGATAGATGGGGATGTTTAAAATCGGGGCTGACGCAGCTGGCCGTTTCAAAAGCACTTAAAACGCAGCGCCAAACGACTGGAGCAGCTTGTCCATGATCTGCAAAGATTAGGTTTGCGAAACTCAGTTTTACGGTTTGGCGGGTTCGAGGTTGGGCTAGATTAAGGGGTGAGCGAATGGGAGTTCGGTGTTTCCGAGATTGTGGGGTTAATGCGCCCCCCGGTGTTGAACTGCACTTGGACGACGTCAGCGCTGAACAACTACGGCAGCTTGTCCATGATCTGCAATGAGTGGGTCTTCGACTTTCAGCGTTCTGAGCGGGTAGGAAGTTGAAGTCTCGGAACCCTGGGGTTGGTACGCAGGGACCGTTCGTCCCCGAACACAGAAGCAGCAGAAGCTGGTTTTGGACCAGATGCTTGGATTGAGAAAGGTTCTACATTCCGATGGGAAACCTTAAAGTATTGAACCTTTGAGACCCCACCTCGAGCACGGTGAACATGTATAGAGTTTGAGGGTTGCCGAAGGACCACAAACCCTGTGGTAAATGAAGCTGGGATTTGACCCACTGCGTTGAGATCCTAAAAACCAATACAAAATCTTGAAGCCTGACACGAAACTCAAAAGCTTGACTCGGAACCAAGGAGCTTGACAAGTGACCTAAAAGCTCGACACAACTCCCAGAAGCTTCAAGGCCCCTACCTCAAACACGTTGAAAACGACGTAAAGCTTGATGATTGCCTACCCCCTGATCCAGTGGGGGCGGCAACTCATGTTTTGAGCGTACATGTGGTCGGCTGGGATTCTACCGTGGCTTTTGGTTGTTTAAAACATGGAAATAAACCCGTAAAACACGTTTTAAACCCGAAAAACATGTTTTAAACGAGTTTTTAAACCATGAACATGTTTGTTTTTGATGTTTATTGATCCCCAGAAAACGTGGCTTCGCCCGACCATATGTACAAACCGTTTTTGATGTTTTAAACATGTTTATTGATGTTTATTATCTCGAGGTGGGGGTCAAATTGAGAACCAAGTATGTTTTTGAAAAGCTCTTTCTGTTCTCTTATTGGAAAACCAAACGAACATATCAACTACGTTGCCGATTGCTAGATAAACAACGGTTGTTCTCAAAAACATTGCTCGAATCTGTGACCCTAGTTGCCGCCCCGGAAAGCTGACGGTTCACCAAAAGCATGGACCAAGCATAACTCAAACTTGACAAGGAACGTAAAAAGTTAACAAAAACCTAAAAGCTTGAAATGTCGAAATACCTACCTCGAGCACGTTCAAGACAACTTACAGCGTAAAACTTGCTTGCCCCCGGTTTCAATGGTAAATGAAGCTGATATCCACTGAATGCATCGACCGACTGAGATTCGACTCATGCTTCCTCACAATCTGGCCACAAGGATAGAGCTTGATCTTTCAAGCACCGTTGAGACCCTCACCTCGAGCACGTTGAAGACGACGTAAAGTTTGATGATCGCCTGCCCCCGGATCCAGTAGTAGATCAAGCCAATACTTCACCACATGCATCGAAGGATAGAGACTCGAACATCACATAAAACCAGAAGCTTAATAGTCCTAAAAGCTTGACCTTGCGAAGCCCCTACCTCGAGCACGTTGAAGACGACGTAAAGTTTGATGATCGCCTGCCCACGGATCCAGTGGTAGATGAAGCTGATGTCCACCGAGTGCAGCACCACAGTACCAACCGCAAGGACCACCATGCACGCCGCGTCGCACAACTCGTCGACGCGCGGCCGCCGCTTCAACCTACAGCAATAACAGTATCTGTTAGACCGACGTACGAGAATTATCGGCGTCAAGGCCTGAAGGAAGACGAATAAGACAAAGCCTTCGGAGCTTGTTGAGCTTAAGAGCCTTTTTATTCGAGGGCGGGATTCTGCAGCCATGGGGTTGAGAACTTCTGCCGAGAGCGGCTCTGCCAGGAGGTTTGCAAGGAAAGGACGGAAAGCTCTGCACTTGGATTTGGTCGCGGAAAGCTCTGCACTTGAATTGGTCGCGGAAAGCTCTGCACTTGGATCGGTCGCGGTTGTGATGTTTCCCTGCCTTCAGTCAGCAGTGTCAAGGGGTCTGCAAAACCAGTCCCGTTCCTGTGCATGCGAGGCGCCCAATCGAAGCAGAAGATTCTATGACTTCGTTTCAAGAAGTACGAGTCAAATTGCAGTCGACGGGAGTGTCCAGAAGGTGACAAGGAAAATTGATAAGGCTTCAGAGAAAGCCGGCCCTACCCCGAGCGAAACGCCAGCCGCCAAAAGAAGAGCGCAAAACGGTACGGCATGATGGTGAAGAGGGAGAGGAAGGAGTCGAGGCAGACGAGGAAGCCCACGTCAATCAGCTGCGGAGAAGGATGCAAACGTTAGAATTAGAAGACGTTAGAATACGGAAACGACACAGAGGAAGTGCGGAAAGAAGTCGAGATTCGAACCTCGTTACCGGTCGATTCCCAGGATCATGATCGACTCACACATGCTTGCTGAAACAAGTCGTTGCGTTTTGCTCTTATTCTTGTCCTCGATCGAGTTCGTAGGAGGTTTTGACAACTTCTCCAAGGATTCTGTATCCCTACATGCGCGGGAAAATCGACTCGCACTCCCGTGTTTCTTTGGCGAACTCTGGCGATTCTGTGCAACCAATCGGTGTCCAATTCAGACGGCTTGTAGCCTAAAATGGCCCTCGAGAAATGGCTGCCTCGAACGAGTGACTGACACTGACGGAAAGACTCATCCGGAAGAACCGTTTACTTACCAGTTCGACTCTCCACGGAACGTGGAACATGGTGTTGTAAACACGCTCTCGCCGTTCGTCGCCTGCCGAAAGAGCCGAGTTGCGGAGGGTGCTCCCGCTCGCGACCTCCCCCGCTAGATAGCCCCGTACAGAAAGATCCATGGGAGGAAGCAACTCTGGCAGGAAAAGAGTACATCATAAAACGCTTCGAAAGCTCAACCCCCTTCCTGACAACCCAAACCGGAAATGTGGGCACAGTAAGAACCTCCTGAAGCGTATCAGTCTGACTAGGAAGGTCAGTCGCCGTGATCTTTGCAGTGCGGGATAGATAATTTTCTTCTTCAAAGGTGGCAGAAAATCATTTGGGAGGGTTGCATTGAATGGCCGGAATGTGTCGTCCTTCCCGCACGGAAGCGTCTTTGGTTTCAAATGCTAAGACACAGAGAGGCTAACGAAAAGAATTTTACAGAGGCACAATTCGGCAGCGGGCGCCAGTGACTGAGACTTCGATTCAGGTATGAGTACGCACAACAAGAACGTGACTCAGAATGGCAGCCCTTCCACACCCACCTTGCTTTGCCGCGAAAAATGACTGCGGCGAATCGAACCCCTTGCGGGGGGTTGTTACAGTGCTTGTAGGAGCCCCCCGCCCGTCCGGTGTTGACGCAACGCTCCCATGTCGATTCAAAGGATACCCCCTCCGATCAAACCCTGATGACTGTCTAGTTCCCAGCGGAGAACTAAAGACCGGAACTAAGGACCCCTTTGCGGGCGTCAACTCAGCGCTGACATCATCAGCTGATGTCAACGTGCTCGCTTCTGGAGAACCTGTGCCGCTCCGTTGGCGAACATCTCCAGGGCTGTGGAGAACGCTCGACGACTGTCCGACCGCTTCGTCCGAAACCACTGATTGCAGCTCGGACGGGTTTTCTCTCCGCTCTAGCTCGTCCGCATGGTCCGAAGCAACCGTCCGGGCGTCCGAGCTTTCTCTCGCCTCTAGTTCGTCCTCTTCCTTCTCCGCGGCAGTTCTCAGATCGATGCTCAGTTCCCTGCTCAAGCGGGGCTTATTTGGCACTAGAGCATGGGTTACTTCATCGTCGTAGATGGGACTGGACGGCAATTCAAGCCCAGGCACTGCAAACCCCTGAACACCGGGCCAATTTACACCCTCTCCTCCACCAGGGTGGTACGGATCAGTGTGAACACCCCCGTTCGACTCAGCCTGGGAAACCCCGCTCTTTTCAGTGCGTGGGTCGCCCTTTTCTTGGGAAAGGCCTTTCGAATCAGAGGTCAACTCCAGAACGCTCTGAGGGGTGAGGTCTTCCAATGTCGTCTCGACTTTCTTGGCGGGCCCTTCGCTGGAACTAGAAACCTTGAAATCTTCGCCAGGACCACCGACCACCTCTTCTTCAAAAGCGCCTCCATTCGCTGTTCTTTCTTCTGTTCCTTCAAGGGTTCCTCCATCAACGTCAGCACCTGCATAGCTCAACCTCCCTTTTTGCCGGTGCCGCTTTCTCTGGCGCCCTTTTGGCAGCAAAAACCCTGCCCCTGGCTCTCCGGAAGTTTGATGTCCTGATTGAGAAACTGTGTCAGCATCCGAGATTAGGGAAGACCTGCGAGGCCGCTTGATTGGTCCAGGGGGGTCCGTTCTGCTGATGAATGGAGCTCCCACCTGCGCTTCCGCCAGGTCATCATCCCCCGCGCTGTCTGCCGGCAGAAGTTTGAAAGAGCCCCTTCTCCCGTGCATTTTCTTCGAAGGAGCTGGAACCTGATTGACTTCCCTCCACACAAGGTTTGCTTAGTGTTTACAGGAGGGAAGCTATTCACTACTCATTGTTTTATGTAGCAAAGCAAGGGAAGAAGTGCCTCTTGAAAGACAAAGGAATCAATAGCGAGACTCGGAGATAACTCTCAGGCTCGCTGCGCCAGAGCTTTGGCCTTGTGGTTTTAGGTTTTGGCAGCGCTGGGCCTTGGAAACCCTAATATTATGTAATTCAGGCTCCGGCAGAGAGCGCGCGCTCGCGCATTTTCAAGGTGAAGTGCCAGAGCAATCTCATGCATGGTGCTGAGCATTCGAATCCAATGGTGGCAGAAAATGGTGGCATTGGCGATCATGGAGAAGGCGGCCACCAGCCGCTGATCGTGAGTTGGAGATCAGAAACGCTTTAGCTTCATTGGAAGCACGGTGGAGGCGCAATGGAGGTCTGTTACGCCTCAGGACTGACTAGCGCAGGAACGGGTTTCCTGAGCGGTCGTACATTGCCTGGCAAACAACAACAGGACAGCTTTCAAGCACTTGGACCACACCCTGATCAGAATGTACTACGCCAATATCCTTCCGTCACCAAGAGGATTATACTGAGCGGTGAAGGGCACCGCCTTTGCAGTTCTCTCCCTCGTCAGACGGCTCCACTGGCTGGAAAGTGCGGCAAGTTCTTCTACGAACAAGCACGCAGCAGATACCACAGGATCAGCGCACTGGCAAAAGAGGAAGTTGCAGGGCCTGAAAGCAATGCAGCTGTCGAAGAGGCAAGCGACGAAAACGGCGCATCTGACGAGTATGTGGAGATTGGTGTGGTGGTTGGAACGCACGGAATTAAGGGAGAGGTGGTCATTCGGTCGCTAACCGACTTCCCTAAGAAGAGGTTTGGCACTCCTGGGGTGCGGTGGTTCCGCCGGCCAGGGAGGCGGCAGCAGGCGCTGATCGAAGTGGAACTGCTCAAGGGGAGGAGGGGGCCATCCAGGAAGGGCAAGGATGACTCCATCTTGCTCAAGTAAGAGTCACAAATTTGGGGAAGGTGGCAGTGCAGTGATTCCATGGTTTGGGTTTGCGATGGAATGGTGGTAATGCTTCTTGTGCATTTGGTGCACAAAAGGAAGTCAGGAGGTTGGAAAATGCATCCATTCAGGCGACTGGACGGCACGTTGGTCACACATCTGAACAGCTTCTGCAAGCGAGTACTGCCGCCTGCCCCCGGCTTGGATTTTCCTGAAATACAAGATTTGTCGTGTCTGCTGTCTGGACACTTTCAGGGAAAGTTTCAACGGAAAGACCGCCCCAAGCGCACCACCTTCACACTGTCCGCGTAACTCGGTGTCGTACACCACTCTTCCATTGCATGCAAAGCGCTTTATGAATCCAACTTGTTGATAGAAGCGTTTCTTCACTCAGACTCAGGGGCATTGACGCCCTGAGGACGCCGCAACCTATCGGGGCTGCTCTCTGCTGGGACCCTTCCGAGTGTCCTTGTAACTTTGCTACTTTCACCTCTTCTCCAGTCGCATATCATTTGCTCTCTTCAATAGTTGCAAATCTGTATCTCCCCCCTGGTTCCAAGGGCATCGACACCCCTGCAGACGCCGCAACCTATCATGGCTGCTCTCTGCTGGCGCCCTTCAAACTGTCCTCAGAACCGTTATTTCCATCGCGTGTTCTTGCCATTAGTTGTTCTGCTGATAAAAAAATGCGTCTCCTCCAGATTCAAGGTCATGGACACCCCTGGAATATTAAGCAATCTATCAGAGCGGCTGCTTACTTTCTCCCATGGAACGGTCCTTGTAACGTAGTCGTTTCCCACTAGCGATTGCACACCAAATACATCAGCAATGCCTCTTTCCCGCCCAGACGCAAGAGCATCAACACCCCCGATGATGCTGCAACCTACCAGTACTGGCGCCTTTCAAAGTGTCCTTGTAACCTCGTTCGTTTCACCACTGTGTCATTGCACCAAGTGCTCTTCTGATATCTACATGCAATCCTTCTCCACTCAGATTCAAGGGCATCGACACCCCCAAAGACGCCGCAACCTACGGGGCCTGCTCTCTGCTGGCACCCTTCAAACCGTCCTACTAAATTACCTCTTCTTCAGTGTCATATCACTTGCTCTCTTCAGATTGCAACATGTTATCCCCCCCAGATTCAAGGGCATCGACACCCCTGAAGATGCCGCAACCTACCAGGGCTGCTCTCTCCTGGCGCTGGCAGACGACCGCCCGCAACTGCAGGAGGACGAGTTTTACACGCGGGACTTGGTGGGGGTCGAGGTGGTGCTGAAAGAGACCGGCGAGATTGTCGGGATCGTGGACGATGTGTACTCGGTTGGGGCCCGGGACCTGCTCAAAGTGCGCAGGACAGACTTGAAGGCGGCAGGTAAGCCGCAGGGCGTCAAAATCTTCATATTGCACCACGGTTAGAATACGTGTAAGATAATCCTGCGGCGGGGTGCAACCTGCTCGAATTGCGCAAAACAGTGAGTTGAGGGGTCTTAAGTGTTCTTTTAATCTTGGCTGCTTTGTTTTGGGATGCTCTATGGCAAATGCTACGGAAAGTTGGACACGGTGAATTGACAGACATTTGTAGGAATTGTTCAGGAAATTGGAAAGGGATTCTCCAATCCCAGCCTTGTTGGCGTGCCCGGGTTGAAGGTCTGAGGCCCTGTCCAAACCTTTTGATTAAACGGACACTTATCGGGTCGTTGACGGAGGGAATGAAGATCCCTTGAGATGGTTCTCTCAGTCCACAACAAACGTTGGTTTGGCCTGCTTCACCATGTCATATCAGTGTTGGACGCCTCTTATCGGCTTCAACCAAGTTAGACAACATAAGAAATGCTCACAACTCACTTCGTTGCAAAAAGAATTATGGAAAAGAAGCCCTGAACGCTCTTCTCAAATCATGGCTCCGCAGAGCCAGCAAGTGATTCAAACCCTCCGCCTCCTCCTAAGCGGACATCGGCAAGGGTCTTCCACTCTCAATACTTCTCGTAGAAGAAATCGTCCCGGCTGTCCTCGACAGGCCTCTCACCGCATCCAGCTCACTCCCCTCAGAAGCATCTCGAATTGTGGCTTTGCAGACTTCAACCGGATTTTCAACCCTGTTCGCTCCCTTTGTGCAGATAGTGGCAAGGTCTTCCACTCCTGGGTCCCCTTCGTCGAAGAGATCGTTCCAGTCGTCGACATGGCCTCTCGCCGCATCCAGCTGACCCCCCCAAAAGGCCTCCTCGATCTCAACATTAAGCTGGGGCCTTCGCCCGCCGAGGAACGTCGCGAGAAGCTGCTCGCGCAGATCCGGCGAAAGCGCGTAATCGGCAAGATGAGGAAACAGTTCACGCGGGAGGGCCAGGAGCACCTGTTTGCGGGGCTGTACGAGGGGGGGGAACAGGAGCGGGAGGCGCTGCTTGAGGTGGGAGTTTGAATCACGAACTTACCATTTTGGGGGGTTCGGGTGGACTAGAATACTTCTGGGAACTTTTTGCGGAACTATGAGAACCTATTCGCGGTCAATTTAGAGCTTGGTCGAGTCGATGCCTAGTCTGGTTTCTGAACAAGGCAAGCGGATCACCGGACAGACGGAGACTTATCAGGAAGCGAACAATGAGAATTCCATAAACGGTTGTGCAGTTCGGCCAGCATTCCAAGCGTCCGTCTTGCCTTGCGGAACCTTTGTACGCAGTCCCCAATTGGGAGTCTCCTTTTCAGTCTTAAAGTGCCAAATAAATCCTCCAAGCTCAAAACGTGACGTGTTCCTCTCCAAACGCAGGACCTTAAGAGCCTCAACCTCCAGAGCCTTCGAGCCGCTATAACGTCCGCCCAAAGCCTCTCCGCCGCCGCACCCGTCAAACCGTACCCGCCGCCGCCCTTCCCAAAGGCCATCTGGGGCGAGCGGGGGCTCGATCCGGCCGGAAGCCCGCTGGAAGAGCCAACGGAAACGGATCAGAACGCGGAGGCCACGCTCCGCTGGTGGCAAGAAGGTCTGCGAATGGTGGCGAGAGGAGAAGTGGCTGCTATGGTCCTGGCTGGGGGACAAGGTGGGAACTTATCCTGCTCATCCAGAAGCACAGATTTGTGTTCACGGAAGGGAACGTCAGCCCATGTCAGCCGCAGTGACTTTACAATTGCCGTGGAAGTGCCCGGAACCTCTTCCGTTTGATCCGCATCGGGCGACAGCTGAAACTCACGTTGTCCATTGAGGAGGATAATCGCACAGCAAGTGTGCAGCTTCTAAACCCTGCTTTCGTTCGTACCTCAGAACCAGGCCCTTCCGAATGCCTTGAATTCAGGAGAAGTGCCAACATCCTTGCTAGTATGGACTTTGGTCGGGGACCGGCGTGAACCTCTAACCGGCAAACCGATCCTACTGCTACCGTCACCTGGTGACGTCACCCGCAGGCACTCGGCTGGGCCCCCAGGCGCCGCCCGCCAAGGGCATGCTGGACATTGGCCTGCCGAGCGGGAAGAGCCTGTTCCAGCTGCAAGCGGAGCGCCTCCGGAAAGTGCAGGAGCTAGCGAAGCAGGTGCGCAAACGACCGCTTGCTTACTCTTGTTCGTTGGTTTGGGGTTTCGTTTTTGGGGGTGATTTCGGTGACGTCCCCCTTTCCCTGCCTTTGTCGTCGTGTCTTTACTATGCGCGTGTAGAATGTCTTCGCCGGGCCCACGGTTCTAGCTACCAGCAATAAAACAGCCTCCGGCACGGCCTTGGATTAGCCCCGTCTTTTCGTATGCCAAGTGCAGGCCTCGTTCTGCATGCTCTGCGTGCCTTACTCATTTTTTGCAGCCGGTCTTTTCTAGCTTGTTCTCCAACATGACTGTCCTCTCCACCTCGAGACGGCACGGAGATATTTTGCACCCAGAAAACAATATACGAGTAGAGCCCAAGGAGAGTGCGTTCTCCGCCTTGATACCCCAATCGCTGACGCCTCTCCCTTCTTTGCAGAGCACGGAGGGCGACGTCAGCACCGTCCCTCCCATCCCGTGGCTCATCATGACGAGCGACGCCACCGACGCCGCCACGCGTCAGTTTTTTGAGGAGAAGGCCCATTTCGGGTTAGACCCCTCGCAGATACTTTTCGTCAAACAGGGAAACATGCCGTGCGTCTCGCTCAAAAGCGGGAACCCAATTCTGCTAGACACCCCCTGGAAAGTCGCGCGGTCTCCGGACGGGAACGGCGGCGTCTTTGAGGCGCTGCACGCTTCGGGGGGGTTGGAATGGCTGCGAAACAGGGGGGTGAAGTACGTGCAGGCGTATGCGGTGGATAATGCGCTGGTTAAGGTCGCTGACCCGGTTTTTTATGGTTACTGTGCGGAACGGAAAGTGGATGTGGGCATCAAAGTGGTGGCGAAAAAATATCCGGAGGAGTCGGTTGGGGTGGTTTGCTTGAAAGAGGAGGGCGGGAAGTCTATAGAGTCTGAACCGGAGCCTGCCGGTGGGCAGGAGGCGGGAAGCTCTAGTGAGGCCGTTGAGAAGGAACTCGTGGAGAGGATAATGGCGGCGACCGGAATGAGCGAACGGGAAGCGCGGAAGGAAATGCTGAAAATGGAGGAGGAGATCGCGGCGGGGGGTTTGGAAGATGAGGAGGACTTTGGAGAGGACGAATTTTGGGATGACGAGTTTGGGGAGTGGTATGAGGACGAATTTGAAGGGGGTGAGTGTTGGCGCCTACTTGTTACCCCCTCTCCTGTTTCTTATCTTTCTCCCCTTCCCTTTGCGTCCTCTTTGTTCATCTTTCTCTGCCCTCTGTCCGGCGCGGTTGAGAGTGGCTGCGGAAGATGAAAGAAAGGCCTCGATCGCTTCCAGTCTGACCGGTCAGGCGCTGCTTGGGTTTTGATCTGATTGTGCTTGTTGCCGCTTATCCATGGGACGGAGTCGTGGGGCGGAGTCGTGACCAATCTGCCAATTCGCAAGGATGAACAGTACGATTAGAACGGGAAGTTTATTTTTTTGAAATAAAGGTATGGAATGATGATCTGAGTCGTTCAGCAGGGAAAGGTCTTATTTCACATAGGCTGCAACCATTCGAATATGCGAAAAAGAGAGAAATGGATCCAATTTTACTGACTCTGAAGAGCAACGGACCACGCTATGACTCCTTCACTCATTCTTAACCCTTCCGCCTCCACAACTCTGCTCTTGGGCTGCCCTTTGAAAACAAACCCAGCGCAGATTTCCCGAGAAGAAGCAACCTCGGATGTCAACGTTTCTTTCAGTCGCTCCTTCCTGAGTCGTGCTTTAAGTGCTGCGCGGATAACGAGTTGGAGACAACAAGCCTCTCAAGTTTAGAAGAGAACCCCGTTAAGGAAAAGGACGCACCCCAACTCAAGATCACATTCCGCATTTTCCCTCCTTCTGGCTACTCGTAATGTCGTAACCGCTCGCCTTTCTTGCGCAGATGACGAATACGGTGACGCCGACGAAGACTTTTTCCTGGACGATACAGAGAAGCCCGACGAAGAAGAAAAGGAAGCAAGCCCCGAAAGGGGGAACGAGAGCGCCAGCACTTCCGGGCGTCGCTACTACGGCGTCTTAGAGTACAGCGAACTGCCCAAAGAGCTTATTCACGCCAGGGACCCACCTAGCACCACGGACGGTGTAAACACGCCCGGGGAGCTCCAGTTCCGGGCGGCCCACATCTGTGTGAATATGTTTTCGACGGAGTTTTTGTCGCGGCTGGGTGGGGGAGATGATTTGAGCCTGCCGTTCCACTTAGCGAAAAAGAAGATCAAGCACGTGGTCAAAGAAGGCGCGGGGTGGCGGGAGGTGGAACCGTACGCGCCGAACGGGATCAAACTAGAGCGGTTCATTTTCGACGCGTTCAAGTTCTGCCCGGAGGAGAAAGTGGCGGTTTTGGAGGTGGAGAGGGGGGAGGAGTTTGCGCCCATCAAAAACGCGTCCGGGGAGGGAGTGCCGGACAGTCCGGCAACGGCACGTGACATGGTGCTGGCGTATCATAAGCGGCTGCTATCGGCCGTCGGTTTAGAGTCGGATGGAGTCGAGGAAGAGGCGAAGGAAGGGAAGGAAAGTAAAAAGGATAAGAAGGGGAAGAAAGAGAAAGAGAAGGAAGGGAAAGGGAAGGAGAAGAAAGAGAAGGGGAAGGAAAAGAAGGAGAAGAAAAAGAAAAAGGATGGGGCGCCCGAGAAAGAGTCGGAAAGTTCGGAGCCGGACGTAATCGCGCATGGAGAGATCCCACCGCTAGTGAGCTATGCCGGAGAGGGCTTGGGAGAAGTCGCGGCACTGAGTTGAGTCGCTGGCATTTTTGCGTACTGGTCCCCGAGCCGTCAAATGACCTTCGTCTAGAGTCAACGAGAACATTCGATGCCACATTTATTGAGGAGCTCTAGATTTCAAGGAATCGAGACGGTACTTCCATAAATCCGCTTAACCACGATGGGATGCTGAATCGCAGGAGACATATGTACATGTACTTTGCATGCCGGCGGACCCGGCTCGTTCGAACCAATCCATGCACCCCCTGCGTTGATTTGAATTGCAACCCATGGTGTAATCATACTGTACCGTCGCTTAGTATAACCCGCATGCACATCAGTGTACGCCAGCTTAGTTTTGAACGTGCTGCGCGATCATTTGAGCTGATGTTGAATTGTGTTGAATACATGCGCGGGCGTGACTACATACATGGTGCGCGCCCGGCCATTATAATATCAATGTTATTGTTGTCGATACATGTTATAGTCGCAGACGTACTAATTGTCAAGAGCCTGATGGGCCTGATAGTCAGAATGCCTTACCGATTGCCTATCTGCCGCGTGCCAGCATTCTTGCAACTATCTATTTCAATTACTGCCGGGCCTGATCGACTGCATGCTGCAGCACTATCCGAAGATCCATGCTTAAAAAATAAATCAATATCAGTCATGGTGAGTCGACAACGAAACATCTGCAGACACTTGCTCCGGCTCGGTCACTTACAATCATTTGCCTTGAGCCAACCATGGTCGGTCATAGCAGGGTATGACCGACATGGCAACGTGTAAATTCTGATCTCCAAATTCGTTCCTATTACTGTCAACCCCTACCAAGTTGCAGGCCTTCTTGTTGCCAAAATTTACCTTACATGAATGCCGTAGACCCTAATACAGAGTGCTACTACGGACCGTCGCCCAGACCCTATCTGGTCACAAACAAGGAACCACCTAGACCATGGAGCAAGTATTTGCCATCCGCTTGACCTTCCATAGCACACAACCAAGACCGCTTATGTATCCTAGCAGGCAACTTTGGACTCTTCCAAACGAACCTTCACTTTATAACGGCTTTTACCTGCACAAGTCCTCCTACCAGAACTTCAGCTTCGTCACAATACTGTCGCCTTCGCTCGCTGTCTTCTCTATCTCCTGCGGTGTCCTGTTTCTTCGCGCCGACAACGGCGACACCTGTATCCTATCCGTGGCCTTCGAAGACAACCATTCCGTAAACTGCGGGCTTTTCATCAGATCCGCAAGACTTTTCTCCGTAAGCTGCCGCGACACTTCCTCGACTTCTCTCGCCGAGTGAAGCTTGCTTTTATCCGGCGTCTGGAAACTAGATGGGAACGCGGTGTGGTCGATGTCCAAGTCGCTAGAGGCAGAGTTGCGCCGGTGCTCGCGCTTCCGCTGCTGCCACGTGTCAAACGATGGGGAAGGCGTTCTGACGTCTATCTCCATCTCGTCCAAGCTGTACGATATGAAGCGGGACAACATAAATCCAGCCTTTCAGAGAGCACCATGTCATCCGTTCTCCGTTGCTGCCGGATGTGGATTGTAATGTGAACGTAATTACTGATAGATGCTCCGTACATCATTGATAACCGCCCAACAGAACCGGACCGCGTCAGGCTCAAAGCTTTTGACCCAAAACCCTTGTGCGGATCGCAATGCTTTCATCCAGTCGTTGAGCTCGGATTCAAAAATTCAAACGGTTGTAATCGACATGTATCAGCTGCACGGTCAATTTCGAGGTGGATCAATCCCATCTACCCTCTGATAGGATTTTCGCCAAAACCACGACCCCGCAACAGATGAGCATTCTGCGGTCCAATCACAAACGGGAAGTGGAATTGAGCATCCAAAAAACCAGCATAAAAAGCGCACACTATATGGACAAAATCCGACGTGTCGAGATGTATGAACGGCAGAGTTTCTCGAGCGACCACTAGATGTTAGAGAAAGCGCGGACGGATCCACGTGTTCAGCAAAGGGTTTGGATGTGAGAACGCTTACTCGTCTGATATTCCTGGCTCCTCTGGTGCTTTGCTGAGGCGTGCCCGCACAATTTTGTAACCCCAGATCGTCACGACTCCGGAGAGGGGCAACAGGATCTGAAAGACCCAATCGTTCGAACTCTGCATGCAACAATTCACACTGTGAACGTGTGAGCATCAGCAAAGATTTGAATCTGAAGTGGCAGCTTGCTTCCGGACAACATCAGCGCATACTACCGTCGTAACATACATAAGTCTGATGCAGGAAGGAACCTGAACGGCGACAGTGTGGGCGAAGCTTGATGTATAATTCAGGATATAGCAACAACAGGACGGAAGCAAAGCGTGAAGAACGATACGACGGATCAGTGGCCTTCGGCAACGTCACGGCAGACCCGGAAATAAGCACGCTTGTCGAGGTTTCTTGTTGTAGCCCTTCCCTGGTTCTGGAGGGGTATCGATTTCGGCATAAGCAGTATACGGTTCCGAATGTCCGGAACTGTCCCCTGACTGGCATGAAGATGTCAACCGAAGTCGCAAAGACAAAACTTGTACTGTTAATCGATCACGTCAACTGCATCATTGGAGACCCGTTCTGGAAAACGGACACGGAAGATGCGTTAACAGAGAACTTAATAAGCTCGACAAGCTCAATAAGCGCGTTATTATAGCCCGCAAGAGATCGTTCTCAAGCGCTCAGTAGGGGTTCCGAATTTACGGAGAGTCGATGAAGACGGCGTTCGGAAAGAGCGCTCCCTTCTCAGAAGCTGGACCAGAGGTTTTCTTTGCAGGTTTCCCCACCCAATGATGCGGACTGCTGCACTTACTATATAATCTTCATAAGCATGGGCCTCCTAGACGAAGCAAATGAGAGTGTTTCGGTGAAGCTCATACAGTAGGAATATCCTGTGAACAGAGAAGATTCGCGCTTCCATGACCCAAGTGGAGCTAAAACGGGGTGTCAAAAGCGAGGTCTCTCTCCAAAAGACTCACCAGAAAGAGAAAGAGACCGAGAGCGACAAAGACCGATCAGAAAAAGAAAGGACTCACAAAGAGAACGACTCGCCAGAAGGAGAAAAGGACTTGAAGAAAGCAGAAGGGGAAAAGGGTTCACAGAGAGAACAACTCACCAGAAACAGCATGAGGAACGCCGTCAGCTTGATGGCCCACTCCACGAAGGTCGCCGTGTCCTTGTCCGGGCTGCCCGTCGCGTCCAAAACGAACTTTCGAACGAGCCAGAACCCCAGGAACGCGCCAATGAGCAGCACGATCAAGACCGCGAAGGGGAAGACCTGCAGAGGAACCGCGGGTCAGGTTGACGTGCTGACAGGTGTCATATCGTTCTCCCAGCTCGTTGTCGAGATGCTCAAGGAGCACGTTCTTGGTGACTGATAAAGACACCCTGAGGGCATTTGTGTTGAGGACAATAGCGGAAGAGGCCGGGACGAACGAGGGTATTACATGTGCAGTTCCAGAGGTCAAGACACTGGCAGGGCTTTTGATCAAGAAACGGGTCAGTCTAGCGAACTGGATGTTGAAGGGACGACGAAGAAAATGAATGAGGCCCGCAGATCAAAAAAAGACGAAAAGGGCCTGCTCTTCCCAAGCAGTCAGTAAAATCAATTGCAGGTTTCTAAAACTGCGCATCGAGGCCTGTCGAGGAGAACCTGCCTGTGTCGACATTTAATTGAGTTCCGCTCTCTTTCTCATCAATGCAGATTTCCTCCGGGTCACTTCTTCTGTCCACTAAGACGTCACGCAATACTAGGAGCGAGCTTCGAGCTGAACTCGAGAAGCGTAATCCTGTGACGCTTTTTGAAAGCTGGCTGCTAAACGAGACCGTCTACGCACCTGGTGACAAGAGGCCACCACCTACTGCATTCCGAACGGTTTCATCTAACATGTGTGATCGAATAGGAAAGCGCAGATTGTAATGGTCACCTGATAAAATCTTGACAATAGAATACATCGACCGGCGACTCACCAGTGTCTCTGCTCCTTGATCCAGCCCGAGGTTCCGCAGCGCCCCGACCAAGAGGCTCTGGATGCTGTCCCACACCATGGTGCTCAAACCAAGCTGCAACAAAAGTCCAGGCCTTCAGAATTGCATCACGTGAGGTTTAAAGATGCAGGTTGTGTTTCTCTACGAATCTGGAGTCTCGATTCTCGAGGGGGCAATCGGGGCCCCGCTCTTGTAGCAACGTCTACGTGCATCCTTCGCGGAAGCTCCGCCACGAAAGGGTCCGCAACTCCCGGGCGGGTGTTGCCGGGTGGCCTATCAATGGGCACACGTCACAGACCCTCCCATTTCAGGTATGGAGCGGCATAGCCATTGCTTGAGTATACTGACGGGCATCGTTTTCTGTCAAAAGCAGGCCAAAGGGTCCCGTTTTCTGATGCAGAAAAAAGCAAGAGGGCCACATATGAAATCCTTGAAAGTCCCATTATGTTCACCACAGGACCAAAGTTTCCCAGGTATCACCCAAATTGTGCCATCACTACTTGAAGAGCTTCAGAGACCGCTTTTGTTGGCTGGATGTGAATACTCAATCCTCCAGCTGACAACCAGCTGGGAGTACACTTCCCAACGACAAGGATGAATGAGAGGAGAGCCGAAGGTAGGTGAAGGGAGAATCAAACGAAACCAAAGAATGGAACAAAGAGACAAGAAAGAAGCCGCCCTCACCATGGAGCCGAGGATGAGTGCGTTCCAGGCCTTCTTGCGGTTGACGGGCAGCAGGCGGCTCATCTGGAAAGCAATAAAAACGGCGACCAGGATGACGCCGAACATCATGCCGGAGCCGTAGTAGAACGCCAGTGAGGTGCTGACAAGTGGCGCTACGAGCAGGAACGCATGGCCGAGGAGGAAGAAGATGAGGCGGTGCGGCTGGAAGTCTGCAGGGGGAGAAGTGGAAGGGTTTGGGGTTATGAAGGAGCGAGAACTCCGGATCACGTTTTGGAATCGAGAAGTTCTATTCAATACTTCTATGGATTGCGCTGCTAAGGAGGATCACCGTTCACTGAGCCAAGGGTCAAACACGTAAAATTTGAATCGAAAGGGACCTTGTAGAAAAGAACGGGACATGACACACCATATAAAAGAAAGTCAGTCTGCTCGGATACGAGCCGAGCTGGCTAATCAGGAGGAATCTGAGACAACGAGAACCGTCAGGCGAACCTGAAAAAGTTTTGACGTTAAAAATAGTTGAGTTTGATCAGGAGATTCCTCTGATCTGATATTCCATAGCAGCAGCGCAGGCTAGACCAGATTGACGTGGTGGGGCTACAGTCTGCTTTGTGAAGGGGGAGCTCCTAAAACTTGAGAGACTCTGGGAACAGGGTAACTGACTTTTGGATGGTCAAAACTTGGGACTTGGAAAGCTTCGTGGAAGCGGTTGGTGGCCCGACACACTGAAGGTGAGACTGTGCAGCGAGAAGCCTGCGCATGGAGCATTCCAGAACCAAAGTTTTATCTTGAGTTTGCGGAAAAACATTCCAGTTCAAAATTGTCTTCCAAGTAAGAGACAAACGAATGTCCTACTGCAAGCGTACCTTCAGTGACCGCCACCGTCGCATGCTTCCCCGCCAAGCCCTTTGCGCTCGTGTTCACGTCCAGGAACGCAGGCTCGAACGGCGACTTTGTTTCCACCCTCGGGATGCCCTTCAGGAGCAGCCCTGACTTTGCCCCCCATGCCACGCACGAGCCAGCCTCAAGCGACTCATTCTGGTGCAGACAGTACTCGGCCTTGACTGAAGGCCCTGCTGAGATATTCACGTGCACCACAGAGAAGGCTTTGTGAGGGTGGAGGATGCGCCATTTGGGGGTAATGCGAACGCGTGCCGGCAAGACAAGAGTGGCGTCCTCGCCGGGTCGCAGCTCTGCAAAGAAGAGAGAGTTGGCGGCTGAGCATTCACTGTTCATGTTTGTTCTGCTTCTGTATTCCCACTGTCGGAGCGAAGAATCAGTTGTCCTTCCCTGGACAGCGGAGCGAATGGCTATATCCATCTTCTACTCATTTGCCAATGGTGTTCTGTGCAAGAAAGCTCTTGAACAAAGTGCTTTATATATCCTCTTTAAAGCACAGTTTTGCCAAGAGCGAACAAAAGGTGATCACAGTAATCTTTTAATCATGCATTTGAAAATATGTGAACTCCCAAACAAGACGAGAGGCGCTTTATTTGCAATATTCAACGAATGACGGAAGCTGCAAGAGGCTTGGGCGCGGCCTTGCACCGAACGATGCCCCATGCTTAAACGAGGAGTTCATAAGAAATGCAAGCTGGCAGACGCAGCCAGACCTCGTCAAGATCACACGAGTGTCATATGACCATCGCGAATTGTGACAGAGAACCAAAGATTCCACCTTGCCAATAAACACACCTACCATGCAATTAACCACCCTTCATCAGGCAAACGACCAAAAGCTGCATGGGACTTGTTTACAGTTCTTTGCTGCATTTATCGCGGGTGCTAGCAATGGAATGAAAGGATTGTCTTACCTGACGAAATTTCGTGCGAAGCGCCATTCAGAGGGGAAGCACCACTTGCAAGTGCAAACGTCAGAAATAGGACGAGTGTAGAAAAAGAAGCCATGACTAGCTGGTTAGGACTTGAACATCCAGCTCTGAGGGCGTGCACGACCAGAAAACCCTTCCTGCTCTGATGGAGCTTCCAGGACCCCTCCTCTCAAGCTGGAAGCTCCGAATGAGCTGCCATCCCTTACAAATGAGCCCCTGCCACTGGCCCTGGCAGCGACGCATTCACCAGGTCCAAAGCTGCATGAGCTGCTCCAACTTTGCTCCGAGTCTGCAGATCGAGTGCAGTGCAGTGGCAGCAGTGCACAGTATTGCAAGGCCAAGGGGAAGAATAAGGAAGAGATGGTCCGGAAGCTTACTTTCGTTGTCAGCCGTCGATGACATCAGGACTTTGATCGCGGACGGCGTGGATATGAGTGATGGTCACTTCTATTAGTACACGCTTAGCCGGGCACCTGGGCCCATGGCGCAGAAACAAGCAATTTCGGAGTTCGGGCTTCATCAAAAAATGTTCTATAGCTAGTTACCAAGCAGTTACTAACAACAAAGCAACATGACTAACATGACGTACATGCTACCTCATCAGTGATGACCAATGCCTTTTCGGAGCTTCTCGAGAGTCAAGCCTGACTTGGTGGCTCGACTCGAAGCTTTCAAATGGCTGGCCACCGTAGAAGTGCTTTGACAGCGATGTTTCAAAAGCTGTGCCCCTCAGTTGCTTACAAGTTACAAAACTTGGCAGCATTGAACAAGCTAGCTTGCAACATTTTGCGATGTCCTGGTAGGGGTAGGTACGTCGTGCCTATTACCGGTAGTGCATATTTGCCCATTGAGGCATGCACCACCTCAAGCAAACCGTTCTACCTAAAAGTTTGGCTAGGTACTAGTGATTTATTCTGACGGTAATTTCTCGCGTGCATCAACTTGCATCGTCAAACCGTTTATGTCATGCCGGGGTCCGACCAATAATCACATTGTGAGTTGACAAAGATCAAAGCTAGCACTAAACCGTATACGAACCATGCGCACCTGAGTGCCAAACATGGGTGCTCCGCTGTAGCAGTGCTCTTACAATGGATCTGTAGGACCATCAGTACCAGTATGGGCTCGAATTCGTTTATCTTGTGACTACAAGTCCATTGAAGGTGCGCTACTGTCGCTGTGCGCAGTGCCAACAAACACCTCAATACAATCTCAACGTATGCCATAGATTGACGCATGCATTTACGAGTCAACAATCCTAGTCATGCACGTGTGCCTTTTCGTCTTTGTCTTGTCAATGGCAACTCGTCCGCTTCTAACCCTCTCTTGCCACGGCCAGCAGGATGCAATTCAGGTTTAGAACCTGGCTCCCCTAGTGCTACGGGGTTCTCGAGCCGGCCATCAGGTTGACCTGTGACGGGCAGGAGTGTTCTCGTCAAGAGTTTCTATTGAAATGGGGACACTCAGATCAAGTCTGATGGAGTGCCGCATCGAGACAACGCTGCAGATGAACTTTTGCAATATGATAGCAATCTGGACCAGATATACTCATCATAGCATCTCGCCAACAACCCTCCCGCTTCTGATTCTTGATCAGGCAGAAATAGTTGCCTCGAAAGACTTCAGGCCAAACTCATTGGGCGTGCGAGTTGCTAAGAGGGCATGCGATTGAACGACTACCAAGACGCCTCCGGAGTGCGGCGAACAATGTCAAGAGAAGAATCCGCAACGTGACTGTGGAAGCAGATGCCAGATCCTAGTTCATCTGCTTCGGTAATGAGCACCCAGGTCGTTGCTCAAGAGAGACCAGTCACTGCATAGCCCTTTTGCGGTCAACATACTCCAGTCCAACCCGTCTCGGAATCAGACAAGATGAAGACAGCTACAAGCTACAAGCGACCGGAATGACATCTCACCTGTTCCTTGTGCCACTTTGGCCTCTTCCATCGCTTGCGCTCCTCCTTCGAGGCCCTCACCGCGACGGTCGTTCGTTTCTTCGTCCCCTGCGGTGGATGGCAAGTCCCGTCCCGCCCCTTCTAGTTGGTCGAGCCGCTCGCTGTGGAGCAAGATCATGTTCTCGACCTACAGAAAGCAGATTCTCAGTGCCTGACGTGCAAGGGGTCATGTCTTCCAACGCCCGAAACAGAAGGAGTCAAGTTGACCTACCAGAAGGAGAGTCTGCTTTTCAAAGAACGGAGAGGCTGTTTTTGAAGTAAGAAGTGGCGGAAGGACCGATCCTTTCGACGGCCACGTCAAGGGGTGACAAGGGACAAGCGTGAGCGCGAGAAAATGATCTTATGGGACGCCAAGGCTCCCGAATGAACATGCAAAGTAAGGACGGGATACGTCTATCAGCATTGAAAAGCAAACAGAATCGAAGCACGGCAGAAGGCATCAATTCTTTCACCTAGGAAATGTAGGAGATGTTATCGACGTCAAGGTTTTACCCTCTGATTTCTGATTCTCTGATCCAGACCGCAGCAAAAAAGAGGACAAAGCTTTGACGTAGAGGAAAGGGACGATTTTTGGGTAGAGACAGAATGTGAGGTGCGGCAAAACGAAGAAAACAGGAGAGGCCACGGGACTGATCAAAATTCTGTAACGAGAACGCCCGAACTGTGTCCCCTTCTTCCAAATGCAGAAGCCGCAAACCTCCGACCTTTCGTCTAAGCATTATGATATATAGTCCTTAGTCGAGAACGAAATGAGACCTTGTTTGAACCGAAGGAAGGGGAGTCATGATGGTATTCGGCAAAGGCTTATTCAAAGTTCGACCTGACAGCCTGATTCAATGCATACGAAAGACGAAGAGGCCAAGACTTGAATATGATGTCGAATATGATGCGTCTGTGATTGATCAGACCCGTCAAGTTCATCTTAAAATGGACGTTCTGAGGGGTAAGCAGCTCTTTTTCGAAAAATTTTGAAATGAAGAAGGTCCGAAAACCAGAGCAACTCGAAAGGGAACAACCCTTGACATGTTTCTTGAAAGCCGAGCCGCTCGATGCACCGGAACTACCACTTCTGTGAAAGCGGCATAACCGAGAGACCCGTTTCTGCTGCGACGGGTGCCTTCGAGTAAACGAAGAGTGTAAGGCCGAAGATTCCACACCGTATTCCTATAATTAACATGAAAAGTCTTCTGCCGAAAGCCCAAAAGACGAAGAGCGCCTTACCTTGAGAAGCTCCGACTCCATCCGCAGAATCTTTGCAGAGCTGGTGAAAGGGTCGAGTATGGCTGGGGGGGCGGGGGCGTCATTTGGAGCGGAGGCGAGCACCTCAGGGGACCCCAGGGCGTAACTGCAAGCAAGAATAAGCGCTGCTGCGGTCTCGCATTTTTCGAATTGAAAAATCCAACATACGTTTGTTGTCACTGGAATGAGATTTGCAGTTCCTGTACCCAAATACTAGTAAATGATCTGCCAACATTGCTTACAAAAAATTCGCCTGGACGAGATGGGAAAGAGGATTGGATCTGAGCATGCTGAACCCCTCCCCATGAAAGCGCCAATATCACAGATCAGCTTAGTTAGAAGCCTTCGAAGGTTTTGCCACTTCGAATGGCACTGCCATCCATCAAGTAGGGACAGGAGTTAACTGGTGAGAATCGTGGTCTCTCACCTGCTTATTTTCTGGGCGTCAAGTGAGAGAAGATCCCTGCAGTGCAGAGAAGGCAAAGCCTTTGATAAACGAGAAGAGACAGTCAATGAAAATCGATGAAAGCCCTGTGGAGACCTGCGCTTTTAGGGCCTCACTGGCGCTTGCCAAAACTCGATTAGCAAAAATCCCCCCGAAAGATGGGGTGTTGTGATTTGATCAGACAGCTTTAAACTGACCTCTACAGTTCACACAAGTGGATGTTGTGCGCATACTAAATAGAGGAGTTCGTTTATAGGGCGAAACATGGATTGCTGGTTTTCATAAGCCAAGGCTTTCGGGCAGACGCTGATGACATCAACACAGGAAAGGAGGAATGGTTGACGCACCTGATGCCGTCCAGGTTCCGAGGGGTGGTGATGAAGACACCGCCGACGTCCGTTCGACAGCTCTTGCACTTGATAGTCAGGAAGGTACTGCAGGAGGCACAATTGCGGATGCTTGAATCGGTTGGAGACATGAGGAGGAAAACACAAACATGTAGTTTGGAACAGACGCTGTCTCGAGTGGAGTCAAGGCAAACATTGAAGCCTTGGCTGGAAGGTCTGAGGCTGCGTGTTGTCACAGCCCTCCAAGATTGCAACAAGGAACAGCTTCTCAGCTTTGCGGAAAGGGCTCCTCCATAGAGCCCAAAGCATGCACAGTAACTTTCGAATTGGCTCCTTGGGCAAATGAAAAAGTCCTTCAGTAACAAGGAGGCTGATGTTGAACGACAGGGACTTGGGCCTTGGAGCAGGGATAGGCGGTACTGCCATCATGCATCAATCCTCATATCAGAAGCGAGCTTGGGGGGCATCCTCGAGAAATCATAACCTCAAAAACTTCGCCTGCATTCTTTTAGTAGCCCCAGCAGGGTTGTAAGCCGCAATTGCGAGGAGCCACACCCAAAGACCTCCCTACTTGGACAATTGACAGCCAGGGCACTTATAGAGCTGATTATAGAGCTGATGTCTAAGCCAGCATACCTTCCAGCTGCTTTGCCCTCTTCATAGGTGCGAGGCTGCTCCTCTAGAATAACGATCGATGATGCGCCTGCCGGAGAAAGGAGGAGGGTAAGTATGTGTCACAGCTTTGAATAAGCCGAAGCAAAGAATGAAACAAGATCACTGACAGAGCTGTGCATGATTATGCACCATAAAAGAAGGCGTGGTGTCAGCTTTTGTTGCAACTCAGTGACTTGAAGTCTTCCAGATGCGCAAACACTTCCTGCATATAAACTACACTGCCCCAAGCTTATTGAAAAGTCGGGGCATTGAGCAAACCATGCCAGCCACTATTGGCATTGGAGCCAAAATTGACGCTCACCTCGCAGTGTGATAGTCCTCAGCTCCTCGTCTGTGGCCACCAAAGATAAGGAGTCTCCCAGGATTGCATTACAGTGCTGGCACTGGAAAATTAGCAGAGGAGCCCCTGTTCCCGGCGCCATGACCCCTGTCCGACCAGCCAGTCACCCACAAACGGTCCGCTCAAGCGTGTCTTTGCTGCTAAGCAGCCTCAATTACATACCACCATGCGTGATGGCCATCTCCGAGAAGTATATCTAAGGGTACCGTCATTTTGTACCTGGTACCCCCCCATATTTATTTGGGGGGGGGGGGCTCGAGGCCTCAGTGGTGACGCAGGGTGGAGGGGG